ACCAGACCACATCCAACCATGTATCTCGCGGGTGTCTAAAGTGTGCCACTTGTGCAGGTGCCAACAGACACATGCCTGCCATGAGCGGCGGTATCGACGCGTAAGCACGCTCGCGATTAGGACTAGCAGATGATGCCCCGGCCTTTTTCCGGAGTTGATCCTCGCGAGTATACTTAGTAATTGATAACGACGATTGGAAGCCGGAACCTGAGGTCTGGACCTGGCTGATATTGCCGCCACAATAGTGCTGGTCATGCAATCGAGCGAATCAAATTCGGATCTTGCACCCGAGCGCTCTGTAACACCGAACCATAGCCAGCTGATAACGTGGTTTTGACAAGTAAGGGAATTGAAATGTGGCTTCGTACAAGTTGTGATATACCTTTGATGTGAGCGTCCCTACGCCTTTATCCTGATGCTCGCCCTCGAAGCGGAGCAATCAGCAGGTGGCGCATGAAGACTGCACGTTGACGCCAAGCGTTACCGATCACAGAGTATGCGGACAGTTACGTAACCTGTGCGAGCGATTGATAGCACCCCCAGGTGAGTTTTCTATCCGTAGATCTGCGGACGTTTCAACCGCAGACGGCATTGACGTGTCGGCCTGGCGCGCCATTTGACGAGGTGCATAATCTACCGGACAAGGTTCTAACCTATCTTCTTCCCAGCCGTTATTGCGAGTCCGACCGGGTTTATAGACCTCGGTAGGGAACTCGTAGACGGCGTCGAGCCCGGCTACGATCAAGTGGCTAGAATTGTAGGGTGGATCCGCACCCTCCGTGCGCTTCAATCCAGATTCTAGCAATTTCAGATGTCGGCAGTCGAGGTCAACCAGCAGCGCGAGGGCGTATGCCGCGAGCTCGCTCATTTGGGCATCGCGTTATCCCGCAGCCTCTGTATCCAGCGCGTATCGTTGTAGGCTATCTGCACGAACTCGAGCCGATGGATTTTCACGCTTGGTTCGAGGCGTACGTAGGTGGCCGTTGGTACACCTTCGATGCAACGCAGGCCGTTCCACGTGGAGGGCGAGTGCCGTCGCTTATGGGCGCGATGCGGCCGACGTGGCGATATTCAACCAGTTTGGCCGGCGCTATATCCCAGAGCAATAGAGGTACGGGTCGAGATGCTCGACGCTCGCCCGAGGGACAATTGAGAATCCACTGTAGGTCGTCAGCGAGAATGGGACTGCGATAAGGGGCAGGTTAACGGGGACGGATCAGTTCTGACTACAAGTCCAAAACGAACCTCAAGTGAAGTTCCTGATTCGTCCAGTTAGGTGGGTCAAAGTGGGACGGTGAGGACAGAACCCTCTTCGAGGTGTGGCTAGGCGGCCTGTGAGCCCTGGCGCAGCGATCCTTACGGGGAGTTCGACGCCTCTTCGAGTGGGCCGGAGCTACCGGACGAGCCTGTCCCAGAAGTGATGTAGAGGGTAGCAGGTAGGAGCAGATGGCTTACGCCGGTGGGAGTTACTGAACGACTCTTGCGGGAGAGTTGAAGGTGGCGATGGGATTGGCGAATGGTGATTACCGGCCCGGTTGTGATCAGGAAGCGGGATGGAGATTCGGCCCGTGGGGTAGCTGGATGAAGGCGCGGGAGCGCCAGGCCCGCCACAGGGTGCGCAGGTTGAAAGCTGTGGCCAACATGACCCACTCGGCCGCCACGCTGGTGAGGCCGCGCAGTAGGAACCTCCGTGCCCCCTGCTGCTCCTTGATGATGCCGAAGACCGGCTCGACCAGATGCTTTCTCAGCCTGTAAGCCTCTTTGGCAACGGAGGTAGACATCCAGGCGCGGTGGCGACGTAGCACTGCGTCGTGCGGCCCTATGGCCAGGCTTCGCCCGATCTCCTTGGCCCTTGTACAAACTCTGAAGGCCGGGCATGCCTGACAGACGGCGCCGGAAGCCCGGTACAGTCGCAATGGGACTCCGTTCGCATGCTGTATACGGACAAACGCGAGCGTCTGTCCCTGTGGGCACATAAAGCTGTCGCTGTGCTCGTCATAGGTGAATCGGTCCTTGTGATACGGGTCTTTGAGGAACCGTTGCCGTGCCTCGGCCACCACCACCTGCTGGCCTCGACGGCACACTCCGCCAGGTGACTGGCGGAGAAGTATCCGGCGTCGGCCAACGTCATCTGCGACTTCGTCCCGGTCGTCTCTTCGGCCCGTTCCATCATCGGCGCCAACAGGGCGTTGTCATTGGCTTCGTCCACCACGTCCACGGCGGTGACCAACATGCCGGTCGCTCCCCCCTCCGGCTCTGTAGGTGAGACCATAGCCTGGGCGTTGTAACCGGCCACGATGCCCTGCCTGCCCTTCATCAGCCGGGCGTCTGGGTCAGTCAGGTTGATGCGCTTGTGGCGTTCCTGACTCAGCAAGATCGGCCATCGCCTGCCTCACCTTCTCTCTCAAGACCTCCTTGTCGGCCAACTCCTCAGGCAGATGGGCAGCAGCAGCGTCTTCTCCAGCTTCGTTCTGAGCCTCAAGGTCGGCTATCGCCCTCTCCACTCGCTCCAACAGCCCGCTCAGTCCCTCGGCATCGTAGCTCCTGTTCAGCGATGCGTTGGCGACCACCTTCGTGCCATCCACCGCCTGAACCGCCAGGTCCACCAACTCCATGGCCACCGCCGTACGCACCGTGCGCTCGAACAGCTTTCTCATAGCCTGCCTATGCCCTTTGTAGAACCGCCACAGGGTGTTGTGGTCAGGGCGCTGCCACCCAGTCAGCCACAGGTACGATATCTGGTCCCGGCAGGCCGCCTCCAGCTTCCGGCACGAGCGCACTCCCGTCATGAAGCCGTACAACCATACGCTCAATAGCGCACGAGGGTGATAGGCCGGCGCTCCCATCGCATCACCGTCTATATCCACGCCAAGCTCCGCCCAGCCATCCCGATCCAACGCATCAACGAACTCGGCCACGAACCGCGCCGGATGGTCCAGCGGCAACAACTCGTCAAGCGTCGGCGGCAACATCCATATCTGCTCACGGCCCATATCTCGAAGTGGCATCGCCAACCTCCAACTCCACCTTCTTCCCAACAGTCTACACCCCTGACATCAACCCGACTTCTGAGACAGGCTCAACTGCGAACTTTTCGGTGGGCCGTCTCAATATGAAGGCCGGATCGTAGAACGCTACCTAGTTTCGAGGCGGGTTGCTACTACTCATACCAGCCCGACCCAAATAGCAGTCCGTCATGCCGCACAATCCAAGTGTGCTTCTGACGGTTCTCGCCCGATTCCGGGTTGAGCAACACATAGTCCACCCAATGACCCGCCTCAGTGGCGCTCTGTAAGTCGTCGCCATAGAAATACCCCGTGGCGTCCACACGGAGGCTGGGATCACGCCCTCGAAACTGCGGGTTATGGTGGGCTATCGTGTAGCCGTCTGGGTCGATGATGAAGACGTACCACTGGCCGTCAACACTCTCCTTGGTGTTGTAGTAGGCGACGGTCTCCTCCAGGCCGAGGGCGACGTAGAGGTTCATGGCCTGCTGCACGAAGGCCTTGGTGTAGGCGGGGGCGTCGGACTTGCCGGGGCCGCGTTCGTACCAGCCGGAGCCGAAGGTAATGCCGTCGTGGATCACCACCCAGGAGTGCTTGGTCTCCACAACGCCAGAGGCGGGATTGGCATAGGTGTAGTCGAACCAGGCGCCGTCCTGGTCGGCGGAGGCGGCGACGGCGGACCCGGTGGGGTAGGAGTTGGGTCCCAGAGCCTGGGAGACGTGCTTGCCCACCAGGTCGGGGTGGGGGCATGAGCGATGATGGTCTGGTTCTCATCGATGATGAAGACGTACCACTGGCCGTCAACGCTCTCCTTGGTGTTGTAGTAGGCGACGGTCTCCTCCAGGCCGAGGGCGACGTAGAGGTTCATGGCCTGCTGCACGAAGGCCTTGGTGTAGGCGGGGGGCGTCGGACTTGCCGGGGCCGCGTTCGTACCAGCCGGAGCCGAAGGTAATGCCGTCGTGGATCACCACCCAGGAGTGCTTGGTCTCCACAACGCCAGAGGCGGGATTGGCATAGGTGTAGTCGAACCAGGCGCCGTCCTGGTCGGCGGAGGCGGCGACGGCGGACCCGGTGGGGTAGGAGTTGGGTCCCAGAGCCTGGGAGACGTGCTTGCCCACCAGGTCGGGGTCGGGGGCATGAGCGATGATGGTCTGGTTCTCATCGATGATGAAGACGTACCACTGGCCGTCAACGCTCTCCTTGGTGTTGTAGTAGGCGACGGTCTCCTCCAGGCCGAGGGCGACGTAGAGGTTCATGGCCTGCTGCACGAAGGCCTTGGTGTAGGCGGGGGCGTCGGACTTGCCGGGGCCGCGTTCGTACCAGCCGGAGCCGAAGGTAATGCCGTCGTGGATCACCACCCAGGAGTGCTTGGTCTCCACAACGCCAGAGGCGGGATTGGCATAGGTGTAGTCGAACCAGGCGCCGTCCTGGTCGGCGGAGGCGGCGACGGCGGACCCGGTGGGGTAGGAGTTGGGTCCCAGAGCCTGGGAGACGTGCTTGCCCACCAGGTCGGGGTCGGGGGCATGAGCGATGATGGTCTGGTTCTCATCGATGATGAAGACGTACCACTGGCCGTCAACGCTCTCCTTGGTGTTGTAGTAGGCGACGGTCTCCTCCAGGCCGAGGGCGACGTAGAGGTTCATGGCCTGCTGCACGAAGGCCTTGGTGTAGGCGGGGGCGTCGGACTTGCCGGGGCCGCGTTCGTACCAGCCGGAGCCGAAGGTAATGCCGTCGTGGATCACCACCCAGGAGTGCTTGGTCTCCACAACGCCAGAGGCGGGATTGGCATAGGTGTAGTCGAACCAGGCGCCGTCCTGGTCGGCGGAGGCGGCGACGGCGGACCCGGTGGGGTAGGAGTTGGGTCCCAGAGCCTGGGAGACGTGCTTGCCCACCAGGTCGGGGTTGGGGGCATGAGCGATGATGGTCTGGTTCTCATCGATGATGAAGACGTACCACTGGCCGTCAACACTCTCCTTGGTGTTGTAGTAGGCGACGGTGGCATCTAGTCCTTCCGATTCGTATCTGCTGATGGCGTCTCTTACTAGGAACTTGGTGTAGTCGGCGGGCGTCGACTTGGGAGGTACGGTCGCCGTGGCATAACCCGTGTCCAACTGCTCCTGTATCTGCTCAATGAGAGACGCGACGGTGGCCTCATCCACGAGGGCGGGTGCGCCCGCGGGCCCTGGAGGTCCGGCTGGTCCGGGTGCGCCTGAGGAGCCCTGCGGCCCGGGAGGCCCCTGCCCCCCAGCGGGCCCGGCGGCTCCCTGGCAGGCAGCAATTGACAGGATAAGAGCGATGATCGGGATTACTGTGATTAGGCGCGCATTGTCAGATCTCCTGGTTGCGACGGGCGGCGCCGGACCTCACGGTGGCGAATACTGCCGCTGCGCCGGAAGTGTCCGAGTCAAACTTCAGCCCGCGGAAGCGCATACGCCGCTGCCAAGTCGTTGTTGCTCTGTGTGGCCCAATCGACGTACTCAAAATCGGAATGGGCGGTGGCCGTGCCCTCATCGGTTTTCCACGCGATAATGAAGTCATAAGCCGGTTGCCCGATCATATTGAGCGTGCTGAGCGTAGCATTCAACCGCCTCGCTATCACCCTGACGGAGTCGCCCGGCGTGATGGTAGTAGTGGGGCCGGTCCATTCCGGTAGGAAACGGACTTGGCGGGGATGCAAGGTGACGAAAATCGTGGGGGAGGGGTAGAATGTTTGTGCTAGGCACCTCGGCTATGGCGGCCTCAAACGCGGGCGCTGCTGCAGTCGGGGCCGGGTCGCCTGCTGTCTCTAGTTCAGGCAGTCGCTTATCGAACGCCCAGCGAACATCTCCAAAATTCATTGGTTGAAGACCGACTTCTATTATAGACGGTTACTATATCACAGGTGTGTTATTCAAGCCTTTTTGTGTACCGGTAATGTGTCAATTTGTCCCCAGGCGTCACAATTACGACTGACCGGGCCGGTGCGTAGAGGCACGGAAGACCGGGGCTTGCGCAGTTCACAGGGACTGCGGCTGCTGCCGTACCTGCTGGCAGAAGGGGCAGCCGCCGCCAGGAAGCAGCGGGGCCGGATACCGAAGGAGGCGGGAGGGTGCCGCAGACTGGCTTGTGAAGCGCCACTCACGGTCAGCGGAGGCCGGATAGCGGCCATGTCAGCCTGGCAAGAGGGTGAATAATCAGCGCGGGCGGGCTGATGGGGGCAGGGAAAAGATGCTTGGCGGGGGCCGGACCGAGCAGGGCGCGGCTCCCGCCGGAGTACCTATTGCAGCGCCAGGGTGAACCTCAACACGAACGTTCTTGATTTTGTCCAGTTTGGTGGGTCGGAGCGTACCGAACTACGAGTTTCGGCTCACAGTCCACCGAGCCAGATCTCGAAGATGGTTCTGTCTACCGTATACGTTGGTGGGCCAACCTGGACTCGAACCAGGGACCTCAGTCTTATCAGGACTGCGCTCTAACCGGCTGAGCTATTGGCCCAAAAGCTAACACGGGTAGGGATGGCATTATATCACAAACAAAACGTCGGGCGGCTGTCACTCCCAGGCAAGCATATTGTGACGAGTACACAAGAGGAGATCCCAGTAGAACGAAGATCTTTGAAATGAAGGGTAGTCGGGATTGGGGTGACCTCGGGAAAGTCAAAAGGGCATGCGACCACGATCAAACTGAAACTTTGATACCCATCAATTCTGTCGTGTTGTGTGGTATACTAGTCACCGGTTCAATCTGACGATGATGGGTAGATCTGTTGAAGTTTAGTGCGAGCGTCCTGAGTGAGAAGAAAACGCCCGTCAATGAGGCGACACAGCTGGTTACGCAATGTCCAGCGCGAGACCTCTCGTTTCAGTACCACCTCGTCGCTGATTCGACGGTTGAGACATTGATTGCTCAAGACGCTCAACTCTATCTCGGCCATATTCAGCCAACTGCCGTGTACTGGAGTGTAATGGAACTCCAGGCGCTTGGCGATGCGTCGTGCTTCGGCTGGCTCGAAGGCATCGTACAACGAGCCCAGCTTGTGAGTGTTGAGGTTGTCCAGCACCAACCGTATCGTCTCTGTGTGAGGGTATGCCTCGTCAACCAGCCACCTCATCTGATGAGCGAAGTCCACAGCAGTGCGCCGCTCGGTCACCTCGACATGCCGCCAGCCAGCTTTCGGCTCACAGAACATGAACAGGTTTCGAGTGCCGTTTCGCTTGTACTCGTAGTCATATCGTTCCACCCGACCCGGCTTGGCGCCGATGGCCGGTCTCTTATCGGCCACCAGTTGCTTGGACGTCTCGTCGAAACAGACCACGGGATGGTCCGGGTCGTAGTCTGCGTGGTACAGGTCCAGCACGTCCTCCATCCGAGCCACGAACTCCCCGCTCACCTCGGGGATGCACCACTCCTTCTTCTTCCACGGCTTGAGTTCGTTTTTTTGAGTATCTGGCGCACCGTCTCGAGGGAGATGCTCTCGGCAAACCCCATCGCCACCACCTTGTCGGCAAGCAGTTGGATCGTCCAGTCCGCGTGTCCTTCGGGTGCGTCGCTGCACGCGATGGCTATCAGATGTGCTTCCTGTCTGCCGTTCAACTTGCGCTTCTGTCCCGGTCGAGGGCGCTCATTGAGTGCGCTGTCGAGTCCCTCCTTCACAAACCGCGTGCGCACACGTCCGACCGTGGAGGCGCTTATCAATAGGCCGCTGGCGATGTCACAGTCGGTCATGCCTTCGTCTGCCTTCAGCAACACCAGCGCTCGCTTGACCTTACGGGCCGAAGTCTCGCCACGACTCGCCATCTGCTTGAGATGTGTCCGTTCCGACTCGTTCAACTCCACCTTGTACTTGAGAGCAGCCATGTCTTCGTATGTCCTCCTCATAGGATCATACATAAGACTAACCTATTTCTTATA